AAATAATTGCTTGATTGACCTTGGAACATGTAATGGTGTGATTGTTCCAGCCTTGGATTCCATGCAATCACTCTGGCGATTTTTTTATCTTGTATTTTTTCTATATAATTAATTATATATCTTGGTTAAAATAAAAAATAAAATAAGATACAATATTGCTATTTAATACTTTCCTCATGTGTGAATTCCTTTGTCTCCATATTCATCACAATGATTATTCAATACATTTGATATCATCATTGACATAACAAACAATTGCATCACCCAGGTAGTAATGATACCAAGGCCATGCATAAATGAAACTTTTAATAATGCATGTCTACTCAGATCTCTGGGATTCACAATAATAAATTATTCTTCATGATTATCAATTATGGTTCCTTATGAATAATAAATCTGATGTTGATCGCAGGTGTCAGATTTAATTAAAATTTCCTGTCACCAACAAGTCAACAGGTGCTTTCACACCTCCTCATAACCATGGAATTTTTTTTCCACAGGCAAGGTGAAAACAAGTTGGAAGGCTTTGGACAAAACATTTCTTATCCTCCCCTCAGACCAGGCTGGCTGTCACCATATGGAGCATTGATTGCTGATGAATATCAGCATTTGTGTGATGCTTGCTTTGTGTTATGCCCTCTCTCACTAGAATAAAGTTGGTGTTAAGACTGGCTTGAAAATTCTGCAACTTGGAAGTTGCAACCTGGGTTTTTGTTTTGGATTTTCCCTGAATTCAGAGTTTTGAGTCCTGGGTTGCTGTCTGGTCAGTGGCATGCCTACTCACCAACAACCCTACCCATTTACTAAAATAACAAGTTCAGTTAGTCAAATAAAAATTTAAAGAGAAGCAGAAAATCAAAGAGAAACAGAAAATTTATGAAAATGATTAATTTATAACAAAACATACCAAACAAAATCCAAACCATTTTATAACTTTTTTCTTGTCGGCCATATTGCTGACAAGGATGTATATAATCATGCAATAATTTTAACCTGCAGGACAGAGAACTGATTGGGCAAAAACCCCTACCCAAAATTATAAATTTGTTAGTTAATATCAGAGAAACAGAGCATTTAGGAAAATGATTATACAAAACAAACACTATTTTACAACTTTCCTTTTAACATCAGAGTTCCAAATGCAATTTCAGGGCCACCAACCCTGCTCTTAATTGCAACCTCCTGTGCTTGAACGAGCTGCAGATTCTCTTAATATTACTCCAGAGTTGCAACAGCTTGCCACAGTGCCATCCTTGCCCTAGAGGCAGGATCATTGCAGGCAACTTTTCGATCAGCATGCCAGCGGCCTTCTCTGGTGAGGGAAGGTTAGTGAAAGCGTCATTGACGATTGGTGCAGTCTTGGTAAACTCCAGGGCATTGCTCCCCACCCCCTGGAGTTCTGTAGCATCATTGTATCTTCGGGGGATCAAGTCAGATTAGCCTTTTGTACACAAGGAAGATGTGAGAATGACTGTAAAGTGTTCAAGGTAGCATGCATGCTTCAATGCCTGCCAATTTCTGATAGTCAAATGTTGCATATCGAAATGTCTCTTTTTCAATCATCAGGAAATTAATTTAGCGTAAACTTGCATAAATCTTACAATGCCGACATAATATTGTGTAAATCTTACAGTGCCGACGTAAGTTTTACACTTTTTTATTATTAAACTTACAATTGACACATGTAAAATTTTTTTATATTTTCTGGATGATGGGTGTGCTGCCTTGACATCTTGTGATTATAATGATATAATAATATTATTAATATTATTATTGATTACGAAAAGTAAAATATTATCAATGAAAATCTTGTAATTACCCAGCAAGATCTGTTCCACGTTTTGATTTCCAATTAAAATGTTTATATTAACCAAAATAAAAATATCAATCAATACAAGTAAAAAATAGTACCTCTATTATTAACATGTCTTCTTTAGTAGATTCAAACAACAACACTCACGTTTTGTCACCTTGGACTCTGTCAAAAAATAAATTGTTTTTCCAAGAAAAAAAAAATCAATCAACAAAAAAAATCCTGTGCAACATCAAGTGCCAATAATAAATAATTAATGTATGTACATGTTTGACTCAAAAATTTAATTAAAAAATGTTTGCAAAAAACACAAGCAAACAAAGCAAAAAAATTGCACTTGGTGAAGAAAAAAGGTAAGTGTTTTAAGGATGGTGGTGGTGGTTATCGCCCACCACTCATTGTCACTCTAGTTTTTTAAAATGACAGACTTGTATTTGTATTTTTAGTCAAAATAAAACGAAAAAAGCAAATGTTACCTCAATTACTGGTCATCAGGAAATAACAGGATTGCAAACAACAACAGAGATATCATCATCACAAGAAACTATTAATGAGACAAGATCATAACTTTCATTAAATGTAAACACAAGCAAACAAAGCAAAAAAATTGCACTTGGTGAAGAAAAAAGGTAAGTGTTTTAAGGATGGTGGTGGTGGTTATCGCCCACCACTCATTGTCACTCTAGTTTTTTAAAATGACAGACTTGTATTTGTATTTTTAGTCAAAATAAAACGAAAAAAGCAAATGTTACCTCAATTACTGGTCATCAGGAAATAACAGGATTGCAAACAACAACAGAGATATCATCATCACAAGAAACTATTAATGAGACAAGATCATAACTTTCATTAAATGTAAACATGTTATATTCTCTTACAAAAAGCAAAATAATTTAAGTACACAAATAACCTTTTTATTATTATTATTTAGGAAGAAATTGATGATGAATACATACTAGTATTTAAAGATTCGGATTTAAAGATGATAGAAAAAGTTGTTAAGGAAAGCATTGATAATTCTGATGACAGATTACATGTCAAGTTGCAACAATGGCAACTAAGAAATATAGAGAAATTAATTCATGGAGTAAATTATCCTACAAAAGAAAATATACAAAGTTTGCTGAATGTTTCATCTGTTTTTTATTTTGAGGGTCAAAACAAAAATCAAGATCTCTTGTCAGATCATGAATTTAGTGAATTGAAATCTCATATGATGTCTAAATTTGAATTTATTGGAATCACAGAGGAAATTAAACAATTTGTTGCAGATAATAAGAGGGTTTGTTAAATTTTATATTACATTTTATATTTGATTGAAGTTATACTCATGAATGTTTTGTAAATTTTGTTAGAAATTTAAGATGGATAGTATAGATGAAATACAACAGATTATAATTAAAGAACATGGTAAATGTCAATCCAACTTGATCAACCGAACCTTCTTTAAACTATTAGATGAATATGTTCCTTGGGATAGTACTTCAAACTTAGAGAAAAGCCCTGAACCAATGTACATCATTAATCAAATTGGACCAATATTCAATAGTACAATAATTTTTTTTAATTATATAACTTCATTCTCATGGTATTGTGAGATTGTAAATAAGGACTGGGGAAGTCCCGAGCATGTCGATCAATCGGAACCAACTTACTGCGGCAGCCACGTGACAATGACATCATTTTCTATTTTTATCTTAATATTTTGTGTAACAACTACGCCACATACTGCGTCATGTTACACATTACATCATTTCTATTTTTAACTTATTTTATGACATAATTATTTACTTTTAATTATTAATTCAATTATTTGTAATAGTGACTCATAGGATTAGTCATTATGAGTCATAGCATTAGTAATTAATGATTAGTAAGCTAGTATTACAGAAAATAGGATTAATAAGCATATATTATTGGACAAAATATTGTAAAGGTCATGTTATTTGTAATACCTCAAGAGGTATAAATAGGCTTGGTTTTAGACCAAGTGAGAATCATCATGTTCATGATACCATAATAATAATATAACAATAACATTGTAACAAAAATAATATCGCTAATAAAGACACATAACACTTTTGCAATAACTCATTGGACTTCTAATAAAACCCCTTGATAAACCTTTGCGGAAAAGCATACCTCACCTCAAATTAAGACCATACTAACTAAGGGACGCCTTAGTCAGGCAGTGGAATATTGTTGATTATTTTTAGGCTTTGCCAGCAGTACTTCCATTAGTACTGTAGAGAGAGATTGCGCAAGAAAGAGAGATTTTAGGCTCTGAGCTGTGTGCCAATACAGAGACCTGAAATAGAGTTTTGAGTAGGCTCTGAGCTGTGTGCCAATACAGAGGCCTGGTATAGACTTGAGAACCCTGAGCTGTGTGCCAATACAGGGAGATTAATATATTGGGCTGTTATTTATTTTATCATATATATTTTATTGGACACCTCACGAGCTGTAATTGAATTTACATGCTCACAATATGAATTGATCAACAAAAAGGGTTCCATATTTAGCATATTCCCTGACTGGAGTGTATGATTGAAATACTATTTTATAATGAATTACTTCTATACAAACTATTGAATAATTGATAAAGCTTGCAAAATATATTTAATTATTATTAAGGATACTGGCTGTAACTTTTGATGATGGTTGCTACCATCTTTGCATCATATAAAAATGATTGCAACAACTGGTTGCAACCACCTTTACAACCATTTTGTTTCCTTTTTTGGATTGTTACATGGAACACTAATTATTATCAATTATTCAATAATTATATAGGCGGGTTTGATCAAAATAAGTGTTAAAGACAATTTATATATTTTATTTATTATTTTATAATGAATAAAATAAGTATTTTACACATTACATACATCATACACAGAATCAAAAACATACTAGTACTAGAACCTTTTCAGTATTAGTACCAATATGTTACAAATTCCGTACCTTATATGCAGAATTAAAACATACTTTTTTATACAGCATGTGTCACAATAAATCATCCATAAAATATTGGTTTACTTTAAATGTCAATAACTTTTAATTTTATGTAATAATAAAATTTTAACAACATGAGTTGAAAGAAATAATCAAAAGCTAACTCTTAGTGTTGAATTTTTTAAAATTGGTTTATTTTTGGGGGAGTAATAAGGAATTAAAATTAATTATATTTATACATATTTTTAAATTTGGTCACAAAATTTTGGCCAAGATTATGACTTAACCTGGGCCAAAGGATTGGAAATTTTAAATTTTGCCGGCATTAATTTTTTTGGTTTCACGTAATAGTCGCGGGACATTGCAGATCAAGTGTCATTCAATATAGACGTTACACGAAAAAATTTATTGTCGTCCACTTCAAA